ATGCTATCATTTAAACAGCTTTCATCTTATATACCCGCATTTCTGTGAGGTGATATGTTACAACAGTTTTGGATGAGGTGAACAAAACTTTCATCACAAGATAGAGCAAACTTTCAACACAAGACAGAACACGAAACAATGGGTATAGATTGGGTAAATTAATGGGAAGAATGGAAGTAACTGCAAAGGGCCTATTGGCCCATATTTCTTGATGCTTCTATATTGGTGCGGAGTCTTGAAGTGGGTAGAATATAGTTGTGCATTAATTGGCTGTTGATTGCTGGTGTTGACTTCTTGATGTGTAGTGCCTCACAGATGTCAAGCCGCCTGCTATCGCTGTATATATCGATGATTTCTGTGTTGTTTGTTAAGATTTCTCTGGTTGTGGGAAGAGATTATATGTTCCTTAATGGAGCCCTGTTGCTTATGCATTGTTAATCGCCTGGAAAGAGATGTTGTTGTCTTGCCTATATACTGAGTTCTTTGAGGCTAACAGTCCCCAAGTGGGCATTTGAAGGCATAGACGACGGTGGTCTCTTTTAAAGCGTTCTGCTTTGTGTCTGGAGAGTTTCTCATGAGTAGATTGGCCGTTTTTTTGGTTTTATAGTAAATCATCAATTGTATCTTCTGATTTTTGTCTGTAGGGATATCGTTCCTATCAACAATATCTTTCAGGACCCTTTCCTCCGTTTTATGAGCTGGTGACAAGAAGTTCCTGTAAAGTAGTCTAATAAGGGGTAAAGGTGTTGTGTCAGTTGTCTCTTCAGAGGTTGCTTGGCTTTTCACCTTCCTTCTTATGACCCAGCAGCCAGGAATCAATCCTTCTTTACAAGCAGAACTTGTTGCAGAAGGAGGAAAGATTCGACGCAACTACAGAAGCACCATACTGTCCCCCGAGCTCAAAGCGGCAGCTAAGAGCCTTCGTCAGCACAAGGAGATAGTCGTCAGGAGAGGTGACAAGTCTCCAATATACGTCATTCTTAAAAAAGACGATTATCTGGCGAAAATTAACCTCATACTCTCTGACCAAACTAAATTCCAAAGGTTAACGAAGGACACTACAGCCGAATTGAAAGCAAAGGTTAACAGATTGATCGAAACTGTGAACGCCAAGAAATCCGGACTCCACCTGCCAAATATTTTTGGGGAATACAAACCTGGGTATGCGTACGGAAATGTCAAGACACACAAGCCTGGAAACCCACTTCGGAAAATCATCAGCCAGATACCCACACCCACGTACAGACTGGCAAAGCGACTCAACAGCTTGCTGACTCCTTATGTCCCTTGCGCCTTCAGCCTGAAGTCTCCAAAGGAATTTGTTGACTTACTGCGGGGGAACACGGACCACAGGGATAAGAGCCTCGTTGGACGTAGAATCACTGTTTACCAACGTACCTGTGGATGAAACAATGGGGATGATAGCGGACAGAGTGTATCATGATCCGGCCTGTACTCCTCTTGACATACCAGAAAACATTCTAAGGAAATTACTCCAAGCTTGTACTAAAGAGGCACCCTTCTTGATCCCGGATGGGCACATGCATAAGCAAGTAGACTGGGTCGCCATGGGTTCTCCCCTAGGTGTCCTGTTTGCGAACTTCTACATGGGTACCATCGAACAGAAGGTCTTAGTCGACATGAACTTGAAACCGGCCATATACTGCAGGAATGTTGATGCCATTTTTACACAGGTACCTGATGTCAGACATCTGCAGGAGCTGAAAGAGGCATTTGAGCGGAATTCTGTGTTGCGTTTCACTTACGAGATGGAGAAGGATGGGAAGCTGCCCTTTCTAGATGTAACAGTCATGGAAAGGAGCGGAGGTTTCCACACTGCAGTCTACACTAAGGAAACAAACATAGGAATGTGCCTTAATGCCAACAGTGAATGCCCAGACAGGTACAAGAGGAGTGTTGTTAACGCTTATGTCGACCGTGCTCTCAGCCACAGCTCAGGATGGAAGCAAGTCTATGAAGAACTCTGTAGGGTAAGGCAGGCCCTAGTCAACAACGGCTTCTCCAATGGTTTCGTTGAAGACATCATAAGAAGGAAGGTGAAACCCCATGCAACCTCTGAAGAGACAACTAACACAACACCTTTACCCCCTATTAGACTATTTTACAGGAACTTCTTTTCCACAGCTCATAAAATGGAGGAAAGGGTCTTGAAAGATATTGTTGATAGGAACTTTATACCTACAGACAAAAATCAGCAGATACAATTGACGATTTACTATAAAACCAAAAAAACGGCCAACCTACTCATGAGAAACTTTCCAGACACAAAGCAGAACGCTTTAAAAGAGACCAAGGTCGTCTATGCCTTCAAATGCCCACTTGGGGACTGTAAGCCTCAAAGAACTCAGTATATAGGCAAAACAACAACATCTCTTTCCAGGCGATTAACGATGCATAAGCAACAGGGCTCCATTAAGGAACATATAATCTCTTCCCACAACCAGAGAAATCTTAACAAACAACACAGAAATCATCGATAGATTCAGCGATAGCAGGCGGCTTGACATCTGCGAGGCACTACACATAAGCAACAGGGCTTATGTGTAGTGCCTCATGTCAGTAGAAAAGTTAGCACTACTGGAGTTGGCTGGAGAAGAAGAAATGAAGAGACCTACACAACTCTCAACTATAATAAGGGACATCCATCCTGTATGTAATGCCACACACAAGTGCACATTAAAATTAAAACAATATTTTAATAATTCTGATGAAGAGTAATAAAGTGTTCAGCGAGTCCTAAATAGTGGAATCCTACATGTATTCTTCCTCCCAGAACTATGTGGTAATTTCCCCCTCCTAGATTATTAAAATTTATTTAATTATTATTTAATTACATATAATCCAGGAAAATATATTTTCTGTTTCATAAAATTATTAAAATAAATTTGAAGTTAAATTTCTCCTAAATAGGAGGATGCAATTAATTTATATATATTCATTATGAAAGCATATGAACTGTGATGCCACCAAACTTATATGTAATAATTCGAATATGGGTCTATTTACAAATATTATTCATACAGTCTGAGAACTGATTGATGCTTATTTTCATAAATACAAAATCAATATCACTCCTTTCCTAAAAGTATAAATTATCTCTCAAACAAAACGAGTGAGGGAGGATTGAGGGAGCAGCCATATTATTTGCCAAGACGAGTCACACGCTGTGTTTGTTCCCCGAGTTCTCGTAAAATCACGTGATATTTTAAAGTTATACTTCACAGCGACATCGTCAATTATCGGGAAGTATCTCGTTTCCTGTTCTAGCACAAAGATTAGAGTGGTCATTCATTTTCTTACAAGTGTAAAGGCACTGCGGGCTCACCATAGCCCGTGTTACTTGGAACATTATGTTCCAGGTAGCGAATTTTTAACAACAACAACATTACAAGTGTAGTTCATGGTTAGAGGTATGACCGGCAGCCGACCACAATGGATAAGACTTTTCCACAAATAAATTGTGGCATTTAACTGAATTTATATGTCTGTAAATGTTGCATGCATTTTTTACAATGTAACATTCTGGCAGGCTGAGGTTGGAACTACATTTAAACAGTGAGTTAGGGGTTTCTAAACTTAGACATATTGCGGCATGGAAGTGACGCCACAAGCCACATAGTCTATGTGGAAGTAACCAGCCTGTGGGACTCATACGTGTTCAGACTGGAGTAACAGCCTCTGAGCCAGATAAGCTGTTGCTCCATATAATTACTAAATCAATTCACTTATATAATTTAAATAACCTGAATTATTTACTTAGTTTAACTAACTGATTTAATTTAGTTTAGTTGAATTAAATATATAACACCCATAGTCTGTGTGGATCATTATGTGTGAAATTTAAAAAATTCAGTCCACTAAGATTTCACTAAGCCTTTATGAAATAAATATTTAATTAGTTTAATTTCACAATTTTACAATGTTGAATTAAATGAAATTAATAAAATTAATAAAACTTCCCCACAGGAGTGTAATTTGGTGCTAGTTGGCAATTGATGTGTTGCTTTGTTTGCTTTATGTATAATGCCTCGCCGTTGTCCAGTCTGTTGTTGCTGACGATTATTTTGGTGTTGTTTGTGAGTTGTGAGTATATCTCTGGTGATGGTCTGGTTATGTTTAGTGAGTATATCTCTGGTGATGGTCTGGTTATGTTTAGTGAGTATATCTCTGGTGATGGTCTGGTTATGTTTAGTGAGTATATCTCTGGTGATGGTCTGGTTATGTTTAGTGAGTATATCACTGGTGATGGTCTGGTTATGTTTAGTGAGTATATCTCTGGTGATGGTCTGGTTATGTTTAGTGAGTATATCTCTGGTGATGGTCTGGTTATGTTTAGTGAGTATATCTCTGGTGATGGTCTGGTTATGTTTAGTGAGTATATGTTCTTCAGTAGGTCCTTGCTGCTTGTACAGTGTTAGGCGTTTTAAAAGGGATGTTGTTGCTTTCCCAATATATTGAATTCGTTGGAGCTGACAGTCTCAAAGTGGTCATGTGAAGGCATAAAATATTGGTCACATTCAAGGAGTTTTGTTTGGTTTCAGGAGAGCTCCTCATGAGCAAGTTGGCAGTCTCCTTGCTCTTATGATATATCTATTTAATTAGTTCAATCTTCTAATATTTGGGACTTGCCAAAATATTGAGCATTACACAGCTAACAGTCACAAATGGGGCTGGTAAAGAAATAGACGACTTTGTTTTTTTAAAACGACTCTTTCAAGTCGTTCCATTTGTGATAGGATTTTTTTCATTAGAATAAATAATTTCTTTCCGTTTTAGATTCTATTTATATTTTCTCGAGCACTCACAAACAATTCAATTCCCCAATACCGTAACAAGTATCGTTACTAAGGTTATTATTATTACAATAATTGTTAAATTAATCATAGCACGTTAAAAAATAACTGGTGAATAGCCTCAGTTAAATTCAAAATTTGTTTCCCCTAACAGTTACTTTCATGCTATTGTTTCTCTTCCGGCAGGAAATACAGCTCTTCACGTGGCAGTGGAAGCTGGCAGAGTAGAGGCTGTGTACGCCCTGCTGAAGTTCTGCCCGGATCTCTCCCTCCGTAACTCCCAAAGTTTGTGCCAAACTACATTTTGTAGAGTATCTGTGAATGCACAGTTTTTTCATTGTATGTTTCCTATTAGGTTTTATATTTTATGCATCCGAAGAGATCCAACGACTTTTTGTTACCTTGTTGTGCCTGAACATCCAGAAGTTTCGTAGTTACATGAGTGTCATACATAAGTGTGATAGGCCTAGCCTTATTTGTTAAGTAGTTTATTTGTGAAAATTTCTTGGTTGCAACAACTGCAGGTCTTCATTAGTTTTACCAGCATCAACTCCTCACTACACCTGAAATTTGTATATTTGATTTTTCATTGGAGGTATGAGGTATCTGGGGTGTGTCAGGGTTAGTGTTCTCTCAACTACTGCTACTGACATACACATACAACCATACCTGATGGCATCAGCAGTGACGGGAGACATGTTGTTCAACATGTCCACTGAAGCAGAATACAACCCTATTTACAAGCCAGTATTTCCCTGTAATGTAGTGAAGGGCCAAGAAAAGAGATGATGGTGTACAGAAGGGGAATGATTTTCCTTGTATGTAAAGGGGCGGATATTTACTCAATATAATAAGACAAAAATTAAATAAATTTCACAATGTAAGTCCATAACAAAATGATATTGCCCTGCACACAGAGTGGGAACTCAGCGGGGATATGACCCCCACTACACAGAATGTAACACAAAATGAGGTACCCTGGCAGACCTAGCACTCAGACCAGCCATACTGAATGCCAACAAATTATCTAGCTGGGACAGCCACATCGTACAGAAAGATGCAACAGCTTTGTTGGAGGCAACACTAACTCCCTGTGATCATGCTCACCTCACATCTGTGCAGGCTCCCCCAGGGGACGTTATTTTGGCAGTCCCTATGACTGTGAAGGGCACACGCTTTGATCCTCAGCAACTCTGTATTGCAGACGCCCTCCGCTTTTCTACCCCAACCACATTGTATGTAGGTGTATTTGCAGTGAGGCAGATGCAGACGAATATGGATCACACAGCCTGCGCTGCAGAAAATAAGTGGGTTGGCACTCAAGACCCGACTTAGTCAACGACATCATTAACAGGAGCCTTACATCTTCCCAGTGTCCAACAGAGAGCACAGTAACCTAATGAACTTTAAGTTTCCTGCTCTTTCTGGTCGACCTGATGGAATCACACTACATCTATGGAGAAATGACTGATGAATGGTGTGAGTACATTCATATCCACTTTGGCAGCCACGTAATCCCCGTCTTTGTTGGTTAAGCAGGAGCTGCGGAAATACACAGTCACAAATCAATCAAGTACACAGAAATAGATCACCTTTACAATTTTGTTCTGAAAGGTTCTGAGACACGTGGTCCATAGGGAGAATGTGCAAGGTTTCTCAAGGATTTTGGTCCCAGGCTCGCCGAAACAACAAGTGACCTTAGAGTGGCGAGCTTTCTTCTCCGTCGCCTCAGTGTGGAACCTTCTGTAACTGACGCCTGCAATAACTGACTTTGCCACGGTAGAACAAAAGTTGACCAGCCCAGAACTCTTCTGAGCTTTCTGAAAGGCTCTGGAGGCCCCAAACTGGAACCCATCCAGGGTTTTAGAGTAAACTCGACCACACTCGAGCCTTCAGTAATTGCGTTCTCACTCATACGCCTCAATAATGAACGGCATTACTGTAGGTGTTCAAAGGAAGCTTCTTTCATCATTCAGCAAGGTAACATGTATCTACAGATAGACGGAGTAGCAATGGATTCCCCTCTTATAGTGCTATTTGCAATTTTTTACATTATAACAGTCGAGGAAAGTGTCTTCAGTAATAGGCTAATGCCAAGTGAATACTGCCGTTATGTCGATGACATATTCGTAATAGTAAAAGACCTAGAAGAATTAATTGATATGAAAAGCAATCTAGAAAGAGGAGTCAGGATTACGATTCACCCATGAAAATAGTGAAAATAACCGTCTGTCTCTCCTGGATATATTAATAATAAACATAGGAGCATTTCTGAGCACTGGTGTTTATACCAAGCATACAAACATAGGATTATGTTAAACAGTAGGAGTGAGTGACCCAAAAGATTCAAAGCCAGTGTTCTGAACGCTTATATCCGTCGAGCCCTTACTCACTGCTCTGAATGGAGTAACGTGAGTAAGAAGTTTGAAAGGATAACACAGGTGTTGGTGAACAATGGATATAGCAACTATAAGATAAACACTAATATATAAGAAGACACTTGAACAGGTGGTATAATCATAAACAAAGAACAGAAACCACAACACCTCTAATAAAATTAAATTACAAATCCACCACGCAAAGTAAACATAAAGAAATAAGAAATAATCGACAAAGGAGTAAAACTCCTAACCAAAACTTAGACACAATCATATACTATAAAACAAAGAAGATCATTAACCCCATTACAAACTGCCCGAATCCGACTGAGAACCCTTTACAGAAGTCGAACGTGGTATATCTGTACACCTGCCCCCACGAAGGATGAAGCCTTCAATCTAAGTACATTGTTATGCGTCGACCAAGCTGACAAGGCGTTTGACCCATCAACTTCAGTCAGGTGCCCCTAAAAATCACATGAGACAAACCCATGACATCACACTATCAAGAGAAATACTGAATAAATATACTTACATATTACATAAAACCCTATGTGTAAGATTATAAATTCTAGAAGCCATTCACATAAAACGTTGAACATCCCACCATAAATACTCAAATAATGGAACTATTCACTCAACCCACCATGAGAGTGAGAACAAGACCGGAACGTGAAGATGCCAACGTTGATGATAATGCCCAAAAGGCTTTTCCCACTACACCTAACTAGTCTTTGTATGTGCTTCTAACCTTTACTTACTCCTCACCTAATAGTATGTATACGTTATTGACCTATGCTTCTTACCTTATACACCTCACCAATACGTATGTACCTGACCTCGCAATGGTATAAATCCAATACACCAACCGAACAGTCCAGTCCACAGTTATAGCCCCGCTCCTGTGCCAGGTAAGTCCATTACGGGCTCACCATAGCCCTTGCTACTTGCAACTTTTCGTTCCAAGTGGCGAATCTTAAACAACAACAAACCGAACAGACATCAGACTCGAAATACAAGGACATGAAATTGAGTGAGTTACCTCTTTTCAATACCTAGGAGTCATAATAGACAGACAGTTGAAATTCACTCAAGAAATTTAATATCTTCGCTAACGTTGTACAGCCAGAATCTCAGCTTTGCACTCCCTGACAAATCTTAGAGAGGGTGCATCTCTACCAGTACTCAAAATGTACTACGTAAAGCAGTTAAGTCACTCATTGACTATGCTGCTCCTGCTCTTACATCCCTCAGTGATAACCAATGGGAGAAACTTGAAGTGTCTCAAAATAATGTTCTCAGAATAATGCTGGGAGCACCTATATGGACTCATCGAGAGAATCTAAGAATGGAAACAAACTAATTAGCCTTAGAAAATAGGATCAAACAAAGAATAGCCACCATAACAGTAAGACTTGTTGGAACCACCGCCAGACTGTCAATCGAAGACAACATACACAGATTGCTTCACAAAAACCTTCAGTATATAACAAGTGCATGTACGGATAATCTAGTCAAGATTCTAGAGAAAGTTGACTTGAAACGGACCATTAAAAACAATGGAGACCTTGACCATATCAACACTTTCGGCAGACTACTGCTGGGGGAAGAATCGAGTTTAAGGGGGCATATCATTCTAAATCGTTATAAATTAAAAGTTGTTCAATTTGCTTGTAAATTTTTTTATGAAATGGTTATAGAAAGGGCTGCAACTGGTCCAAGTTTCACCATCACACCCTAAACAGAAAAGGAGAAAAAAAATACACAACGTATTATGCAACGAATGTTCAACATTCTCAAATAATCTCAGGGAACACATGTGTCAACTAAAATGTCTTATATGTGCTGTAGAAACACAAACTCTTGTAATAACTGTAATATGTATGTGCAATATATTTGTATTTAAATTTTTTTTTTTTTTTTTTTTTTTTTTCTTTTTTATTGGCCAATATTTTTTTCTCGTTTGTTATAAAGGGATTTGCATGAAACTTGCACACCTTGCTCAATGGATGCCTATCTGCAAGGGTGCCAATTATGAACGAAATCTGTGGTAGTCAAGCTCAGCTACAGGTGGCCGAACTTGGATCTTTATTTTACTCTGGAAAGTAATTTACACCTTCAAATTACTTCAGAGCTTTCATTTATTAATCAATTTACATGCAAATTACACCTTATATGTAGCGTTTGTGCTTCTACAGAATCTAGTAGACATTTTAGTCCAAAGTCTATTTGTTGATTTTATAAAAATTTATAAATATCATATATTGCATATTTTTTTAGAAGGGTAACTTTGAAAAATTATATTATTGCACTAAACACTTTTTTGATAAAACTGATCACTAGAATCCTTTATTATGTTCTTAATTTAATATCTGAGTGTTATAGAAATGATTTTAGTTGACACATGTGTTCCCTGAAACTATTTGAAAATTCGTTGCATAATTCGTTGTTTATTTTTTTTCTCCTTTTCTGTTTAGGGTGTGATGATGAAACTTGGACCAGCTGCAGCCCTTTTTATAACCATTTCATAAAAAAATTTATAAGCAAATTGAACCACTTTTAATTTTACATTGATATGCCCCCTTAAAGATAATCATTGAAGGATTATCAGTTAAAAGATCAGCATGTGACTCGCAAAGGCTCAAAGCTGTAATAGAACAACAAATGGAAACCATCTCAAAACCTACAACGACTCACATCTTCACAGACGGATCAGTTGATCAAGAAAGAGGTTCTGCTGGGGCAGCAATTTACACTACCATCCATGAAGCTTACTGTAGCATGAATTGTGGGTGCTTAATATTGCAAACAGAATTATATGCCTAAAGGAGGCCATAAACTATTTAATTGAGAATAATTTACATGATGTCATCATTCATACCGACTCTAAATCTTCGCTCTAGGCAT